CCATTTTCTCCTAAACACTCCGAAAATTTTTCGAGATTTTTTCAGGATAGAAACTACTTAGTAGGATCTATAACTTTGTCCATACAACTATCCTCGACACTTTCCATTTTTCACCCTGAGTTGTCCAGAAATCTTCTTAGAAAACTGTAGTACGGAAGCACTAAGAAGTCTCAGAAAACGTTGAGGTACATTGAATTATTCATGCTGAACAGGAATATAGAGTCATAATAGCTCAATTTTCTTTTCATGAAGTAAGGTTTTAATGGGTTTTCTGGAAAACTGAGGGTAAAAAATGGAAAGTGTCGAGGATAGTTGTATGGACAAAGTTATAGATCCTACTAAGTAGTTTCTATCCTGAAAAAATCTCGAAAAATTTTCGGAGTGTTTAGGAGAAAATGGAAGTCAAACTTCAGGAATTTTTCAAGTAAATTGAGTATCACTCGAATGTAAAGTTAGATCGAGACTGAATTCCTTCACCACTAGAATCAACTCGTCGAGAGCTACAATTTGATGTATAAATATGCAATGTTTCGTTCATTTTCACCGACTTCGGTTTCCCCCTCACCAAAAACTTGAGGTGTCTAGAAAACCACTTTCCACACGTTTTTCTCTGCTGTATGGTAAAAAAAGTGTGTTCTTCGAACTTTTAGAGAATTCGAATAACAAAGGGAAACCAGTTCTTCATTTCTCCCATATTCTTGAAATGGTTTTCTGTTTCTTATGAGCGAATCGTTAACATGATACGTTGATCATAAATATTGAAGAGCGTAAGCGAGACCTTTAGGTTATTTTTGATGCTCTACACGATGCGCAAACTGAAATTTTCGCGGCTAATAGTGAATGTAATAGTAGGCGGACCTGCGCGGAAGAATCCGAATGCCACCGATTGTAAGTTACCCGTTAGAACTATAAGTACATAAACCAAAATAAAATTTTGAAAAAAGTGTGAAGCGCTTGATTACTATTAATGGAGCGCTAATCAAAATAAATTGTCAAATCTTAATATTGACTATCACGGTGTAATTTCAAATGTGTGAAAATTTTTACGAGAAGTATAAAAATAGAAATTGCTCTCGTCCGTATCACAAAGTGTAACTTACCATCTTACACCCTGATAGCTTAACACAATATTTCTCAGATCCTTCATTCGTATACCCAGAGCCGCAAATAACGGGAGGATGTAGGAGAGTGCGCATTCCACGAATAATTGTAATATTATTCTTCGCACAAAATTATTTTTATCAATTTTACACTATCTCAGAGAAAAAGTTTGTTTTACACACACATCCGCCTAATGTTTGGCTGCTATTTGCGGCCCTGGATATACCATAGATCTTATTTCAACTGACATTTTATGGTTAAAATAAAACATGTGTCTAACATGATTCTATTGATTAAATTTAATTTGTTAAGTTAAAGAACATAAGTTAAAAATTCTAGTTCGATGTACTCAGTCAAATTATTTTCATTAGATTCTTGGTTGTTTGAATAAGTGCATTCCAACTTTAGTGAAACATATATTTTATGAGTTATTTTTGCTGCTGATCACGCAACTAATCTTGATTTGTCTAAAGAGAATTGATTTTCGGAGATTGAATATATGGAGATCCGTTATATAGTCGATATATGGCATATTTAGATACAATCAAATTGCAAAGCATATCGAGTTATTCATGTAGAAAGGTTTTCAGGTATGACGAACATTGTTTCATAGTGCCAGAAAACTTTTAATGTAAAAAAAATATTAGAATAGCTGCGATTTCTTAGTGGAAAAAGACGAATGGTTTTTTTTGCAATTCTGAATTGCAAATTATATCATTAGAGAAAGTCGTTCAGTATTATTATCAAAAAGTGTAAAATATACAATGTATTTGAAAAATAAATTATAACATTCTAGGTGAGTAATAGTTTTATCAGTATTTTATTTTGACTTTTATAAACTTGTTACTTGTGACTTATATCCTGTCTCATATCAAGAGCACGAGACTTTATTCAAGTAACGTTTTGTTGTTGCAATGAGATGTTTTTTCTATATTTTCTTATCTTTTATTCTTCTGCACATACTTCTCGAAGGAAACCATAAATTCTCGACCATCAATTAATTCTTAAACTTCTATTCGAAGACAGTTTAGCAAGTTGTTTTGAATTGTTGTCTAAAAGAATGCTCAGGTTTAGTGTATCGCTCTTTCACTTTCTCTTGTCTTTCATTTGTATTCTGATGTTTTTACTAATATAATTGCAAAGACTTTATATTGCGTTGTAATAAGTAATTCTCCCGCAAACATGAAACTTTAAGATTTTTCCCTAACGGATAAGGAGCTGGCGATTACAATTCTGTGCCGAATGAGACGTCATAGGAAAAGAAGTCCATTAACTTTTCCAATTAGTTTGCTAGAAATTATCTAATAAACAATAGTTGATTTTATTTATATAATATCGGATGAATCCTTTCATTTTAAAACCACTTTTTAATAATGCTAGCGCTATGAAATCTGTTTTAAATAGAAACAAATCCAGTAATAAACGAATAATTATTGAAATAATCATTCAAAATCTATTAATTGTCAATTGTATTGTTTAAATTGTGGTGATTTTAAAGATGTTTGTTTCAGAATGTTTGTTGCATCTTTTTAGTTGACGTGCTATGATATCCGAAAAACGTTGATGAATTCAGTATTACTCTAGTATTAGCTGAAAAAACTATTCATATTGTTATCAGTAAAAGGTTGAATTAAAAATTGTTTTTTTTTTATTTTATATTCAATCCTGCTCCTAACATAGAGTGCTAGTTTAACTACGGGGCTATAATGAACACTTGTTGACGTTTTCGATCATTTTTTAACAACAAACTTACGAAAATACTGATGTTATTACGAATGCCTGTTCTTGATTGAACAATGACATTTCGCAACCAGCAGAAGATAATGCACATGATCAAATGAGCTTTTGCTTGCTCAATAAACTGTTAAATCCCATATGATATGTTCTCTCCGAATAAACCAAATTTCAAACATAAAATCTTCAAACGATAAAGAATTTCTTTGTTTAGAGTGAATCATGTGTGCTGATGAGCTAAATGACGATGTCACATGGGCTAAATCATTAGAAACGATAGCAAAATTTGAACAACTTGATATCATAATCTAGAAGAAACAAAAACTGAAGGCAACTATGCATAAAGATTATGCATGATCAATAAAAGAAAACAAAAAACCCAAACGAACAAAAAATCACGTTGTCTTATGATAAAATCCCATGATAGCAGATGGTTCATTTCATGTAGTCGACGCAAGTTTTAGATGGAAATAGACACATTGGCTAATTTTTAAACACTTGGAATCTGACAGAGAAAAAAAATGGAAAAACATATAAAAATAAACAAATTGAAATATACAGTATTATTTATAAGCGAAAAAAATGTTAACTTGTAATACAAGACACTTCTTCAACAACCCTATTGGCATAAATTTCAGACAGCTTTGATCTTAAATTAAATAATTCTTTTCTTTGATTAATTATAACCATTTCTAACTCTTCCGCACTCATATTGCGATCTATCTTCATTGAATTTAATTTTTCATGTATCCCATTTCCTTCTGAAATTTGTTTTAATGTTTCAATTAACTCTGACAAATCGGCTGCAGCATGATTTATTTTTTCTAATAAATTATTCTCGTCACATACAATTGTTCTTTCATGAAATGACAACGATACTCCCAGAATATCTTTTAAAAGTCTTTCATTAATAATGTTCATGTTTTGATCATCTTTAGTTAAAGATTGTAGTTGTTGAAAATGTTGATCAATTTGTTTTAATAAATATCCAAGATTCTCAATCATATTGTGATTATTTTCTGAAAGTTTATTTTGATCTGTTAATTCTCGGATTGTCGTCTTTTGTTGATCAACAATTTTTTTTGCTGTCATTTTCTTTTTTTTTAATATTTGTAATTTTTCAAGTAGAGCAACGTGTTGTTCCATCGTTGTTTTCGAATGTTTTTATCCACTCTAAGTATCTTCAAATGATCTCTATTCTTCAAAAAATCAGTTATTCATGCTTAAATGAACCAACATAAAAGAGATAAAGTTTAAAATATATACATAAGAGAGAAACATAGAATATCAAATTTCAGCATTTGGAGCTTTCAATTATTCAAGTTGAATATTACTATCAGAGTTCCCAGATGATCCGCATTTTGCGGACAAATTCCACATTTTGGAGTTTTTTCCGCATTTTAAAGATTTTCTGCTTTTGCTGTTTTTCCCTTATACATATAAGATTTAAAAAGAAACTTTTCTATCAATTGAGGATTCTCTTTTCATCCTGTTGTCCAACTAAGTAGCCAGTCACTCGTCAATTTATGATTATTTCTCACCAACGCCAGATTTGCTTAAACTTATTCATTTTAATAAAAAATATACAGTCCAAAAACAGCGTGTCAACTAAAATCGAGACATACATTTCTGTTTGTTGTTCTCTTGCGTTTTATTGAATAAAACCACAAAGTGCTAGAGAAAACATTTTTTTGACTCTCTGTACGTGAAAACGGCTGAAGTTAGACCATGAAAATGCGTTTCCGCTTTGTTTCCACATTCTGAGAAAATTTTTGCGCATTTCTGATCTGAGCATCTGGTAACTCTGATTACTATATGAAACGGACAGCCGGTGAAATGGTATAGCACTGTTGACCAATCAGTTTCCTTTACTTTTATCTTGTCACATATAGACATCTGAAGCACTCGTGATGAAAACCTTAGGCAATTGTAAAGATGAAAACTATTTATTTATTTTAAATTTTGAGTCAAAACACAGAAAAACTCTTTGAAGTATGTTGGAAATAGGTTTGAGATCAGGGCGATTTGACCAGGAGACCCCTGATTTTTAGATTTTTATCCTGATGAAAACTCTTTTTTGCTCTGAATTTTATAATTATCTCTTAAATAATCAATAACTGTTAAAACAAATTTATTCATCAGAAAAATACAGTCAAGTTGCCAAAATACCACGGACGATGTAGGAAACAGTTTATTATCCAAATTCGCTTTGTTCTGGTTTTGTAGTTTTCTTTAAAAATATGTGTCTGTTTTGTTTATACTGTTAAATGAACAGCTGGGAAAATATCAGTGGAATAAACTACATGTGATTATCATCCTCTCTTTTTCTTTGATTCGCTTGTAAGACAGCCTTCTCATTACTTTCGTGGTAGAAAAAAGTCACAAACGTTTGTGGGAAAGAAAATTTTGCTTGACTAAGAAAAAACTGCTTGATACTCTCTTATTTTTCTCCTGATTTCTAAAAAGAGGATTTGGGGACTGTTTCTTAAAAAACCTTAACTAGAAAATTTGACTTAAGTCAAATTTAAGTCCAAAAAAGTCTGTCTTGTTTGACTTAAGTAAGATTTTCTACTTAGGTTTTTTAAGAAACAGGCCCTTGGTCACTTTGCATAATTCATTAATTTTTAGATCAGATGGAAAATATGTGCTTCAATTGACCTCTGTAAAAACGCTACTTTCTATAGTAGAGAATAGAGATTATGTCGGTAATCGGAGCAAGAATCTAAAACAAAGGGTCAAAATTCGAAAAATTCCTCTAAACTTTTATCCAATCACATTTTTCTAATACAACAGAAAATACACGAAATAAGGCTATTTTCATCAGTATGCACATATTTTATCACCGAGTTGAGTCTCAATATCGTGATGATCCTTATACAAAAAAATCTTCACTACAGAGCTTTTATCCAATGAATTGTATTGCTAAAAAAACGAAGTACACATAATAGTTTTTCAGTTAAAATTTTTTCAATGAAAAAACAGTTTCAATCTCTAGCGTTGATTAGCATTCTCGAAATTAAATACATCTGACTGACTCCCGCTCGTCTTTTCATGGAAACGTGTCTTCACTCTAGCACTTTTACCATCGTAACGTCACTTATTGGTCTAACAAAAATGCAATCGAGTGTTTTTTCTTTCTCTATTTTTCGTTGTCTGTCTGTGCGTGTGCAAGAGGACATAGTTACATGACACACACATCGAACGAATAAAGAGAAAATGATTTGCGAATTAAATAATAAACAGCAAACTCGAATTTTATCATTACTCGTCAAAAATAGTTTCGGTCGATTGACTGATAACTCGTTCTTTATACTAAGATTATAAACTTTTTCTGAAAGTTCGTCAGTTTTCGTATTCATCTGTATTTTTAAATAGTCAGCGTGTGTAACACATGTATTCTTGATAGTAATGTGCCCATGTATATGTGATTTCGAATTATTCTTGATGAAAGAATATATCAGACTGTTGGTTTCTTAGGAAGGGTAATGACGTTTTTTAGCTTGCATATTCCTTCTGTACTTGAACATCAAACACTCTGTTGTTTGCGATTGTGAGTATTTCATTTATGTTATGATTTAACACATCTGGTTGATGGAGATAAATGTTTACTTAATGATTTCAATTTTCAGATAGTTGTAGGTGCTTTGTCGAGTGAGCACGGTTATTTAGAGAGAAAGGGAGGTTTAATTGTAACATCGAAAGTTTTTATTAACATCAAATATCATTAGAAAATGAGCAGCCGAGGCGGCGGTGGTGGTGGTGGTGGAAGTTGTTTCAAATGTCAACAGGTAAGAATCAACATCAACATAGTAACATAACTGAGTTCGAGAGGAATGAACACATATACAAGCCTTTGAGAGTTGATCCAAGGCGGTTTTCTGAAAGTTTTTTTATCAAAGTTTGTAGACCGCTACAGAAGTGAGCGTGGATGATAAAAGTCCTATATTTTACAAGTTTTTCTTAGTCCATCATTTTGCTCACTTATACGGTGATGGATCTGTTTTATATAGAGTAGGGTAGGTAGACCATCGATGCCAAAAAGAACCTTTGATCTATATGTTGAAAAAACATATATGTCATACAGATTTTGGCGCTTAAATAATCGTACTTTTTCTTTAAGAATCTTTTCTTTTTGCGTGTCACTGATGCGCATGATTGATTAGATTCGGATGTCTTTTGTTTCTTTACATTACAACAGAAATTGCAGAAAAATATATGAATAAATTATTATAAAAGAGAGGAAGTAATATGCACGAAAAAGATAGTTCACAAAGGTCAATTTAGCCCTTTAGGGGCATAGCCTGTTCACTTATGTCCTATGTTGTTATTCGCTACAATGAAGATTCGCACAAGGGTAAAAAGGTCCTCGTTACTCTGCAGTATCCGTTAACGTCACTATTATCATTTTCTTCAGCTCACATTATTTGTTTAGGTTGGTCACTTTGCCAGAGATTGCACACAACCAGATAGTGGGTCAGGTAAGATACCAGTGCCGGACTTTGTTAAATTGTAATGAAATATGTTTTATCGTTGGAAGGTGGTGGTGGTTACGGCGGTCGGGGAGGTAGCAGTTATGGAGGAAGTAAGTGTCATTCACTTTGTTTCTTCGCTTGTTAACATCCTTTAAATTGTTAATTTTCTCTAAACTTTAATTTTTCTAGGACAAGGAGGTGGTGGTGGTGGTGGTTATGGTGGATCATCATATAGTAGGTTTTTATACTTTTATTACAGGTTGATCTTAATAAACTTTTAATTGATAAAGTATTATGCGTAAGAGCAGGAATCTCGAATTTCGTAGTTGATTTGAGATATTTTCGCTGCTTTAATGATACAGTTTTATATTCAGGTTTGTGTCAATTTTGTTTTTTCAGATCGTAGCGGTGGTTTTGGAAGTGGTGGAGGTGGAAGTAGTAGTGGAGGAGGAGGAGGAAGTGGTCGATGTTTCCGTTGTAATCAAAACGGTCATTTTGCACGAGATTGCCCGAGTGATGCCAATCAAAGTATGTTTTATGCTCCGCGTAGGATATTTTGATGACTCATTTCATTTTTTGTTTCTGCACTCTTCTAGGTGTTTGCTATAACTGCAATCAGCCTGGTCATATGTCACGCGAGTGTACAGAACCAAAATCAAGTTCAAATAACAACAGTTATGGTGGTGGTGGTGGTGGTAAGTACTTTTTATTTCGAAAGCAGCTTTTCATGGTTCGTATTCAGTCTTTGGGTAAACGAACTAACGTTATTTGAACATTATAGGTTCTTCGTCTTCTGGTGGACGTGGTGTTTGTTATCGTTGTAACAAGCCTGGTATAATAATTTAAGCTTCTTTTTTTGTTAAGTTAGTTTTAACTTTGTTCTTTTAGGGCACATAGCTCGTGATTGTACAGATAGTGGTGGTCAATCAAATCGAAGTGGCCAAGGTTCGCAACAACAAGGTGGAGACGGTGATTTCGATAATTAAAATAATCACAACACAAAGGAAATAGAACTAGCACATAGATGTAATACTCGGCATAAGCTTGCTGTACTGTGAACTGGTTTTTTTTTACCGTGCATTAAGTATTAGGTCGTTGAAAATGTGTGAAAGTAAGAAATATGTTGCCGTCGCAGTTGTTTTTTATGCTTATTTTGATCTTGTTTGTGAAAAAAGGAAATAAATTAGAAAAGAGAATGTTTTTACATAAAACAGTTGGTCGAAGTCAGTCTAACGGATTCTGGTATATTGCATTAGATTAGAAAAATTATGAGGTAATAGCAAATTGCTGTACCTACTGTATTATACGGGTGATATCTCGCTCACTTTGAATGATAAACTGACAACTTTCTTTTTCATATCCTCTCAGTTACAAAATAGAAACGCTGAAAAATTAGCGTCCGGGTGTTAGTTTATTATATTTAACGACTTTTAAGCAATGTGTACACAACACTGCAATTTGCTAACTTGATTAGTTAAGTTTTAAACAAATTCGGATTCATAATCGGATGGTCAATGATCGTTAAAAAGATAACTATAGTCGATCTCACCGTCGCATTAAAAAGCGCTGCCTAGTCTCAGATAAAGAAATTTTGGAACATGCATGTTTTTTAATGTACGAATGATACAAAAAAACCTTTGAAAAGTGTTCAACCGACCCAAGAAGTCATCTTTTTTAACGATTATCCGTGTGTAATATGACGGTAAAAAGGCTTAATGATACTTCCTTCGGAGCTTAGAGGAAAGTCAATGAGCGTGATATTTAAAAAAATAACATAATTACTGTAACCTCACGGATTACAGTCTGCCAGCCATTGATGACCAAAACACTTAAAATGCGATATATAAATTGGCCGTACTAGGAGAGGAAAGTTTAAATTTAAAAGTTTTCGTCAGCTAAAAATCTACAACTTTCAAACCTTATAATCAACGACTAAAATACAAGAGTTCTTAACTGAGGCTTTTATGCATTCTACAGGTAGCGTTTGTTGCTATGGATGCAATCACAATCATGGCCGTTTTCTATTAATTTTACGTTGATGATAGTGACTAGTTTTAGAAATTTTAGTTGTAAAATATGTTGGCCGGATCAAGATATACTAGAACTGAAAGTTATGCTTAAGTCGCTAATGTCATCGTGGATTCACGTCGATTGTGGCAACTTAGCCCAAACTCTCAGTCCTTGATCGACTGACTGTGAGAGGTGTAACCTTTTTTGAAGTAAACCAGATTTACACTTGCTGATATGTGACGAATTAGCAGCAGGCTTGTAGGGATGCTTTTTTACGGAAATAACTTATATGCTTATACTAACAATTAACAAACTAACTAACAAACTAATAACTTATAACTTATATGCTTATGGAAAGCGAACCCAAATCCAAGAATTCGATAACAAAATCTTGTAAGATCATATCGTAAGATCTTATTATAAGATTTCCCAAGAAAACATAAGATCTTGCAAGGTCTAACAAGATGTGGTTCACCTGGGAAGCATTTTACATTTTACACAGTTAAATGCTTTTTGCCATTATAACAGCCAAAAAATTTACAGTAAACAATGAGTGTTTACTGCCTTTTTTTCAACATTTGATATGTTAAATACCTTTTCTCGAACCTTTATCAACAATTACATAACAGACAATAAACTGACTGTTACCTAACAGTTTTTTAACAGTTATTTGGGTGCTAAAAGCAAGGGGGAAACAGCAGATTTTGTGACTTTTGTAATCTGGGCTCCGTTCCACAGGCAATCAATTTTTTTCAAATTTTGTTGTACTCCTGGAGACTCCTTGATAGTCTTCGTGACTTCGCTGAGCTCGAAAAATTTTCTTGACTGCTTTTCAATTTTCCCGCGTTTTTTCCGCTTAGCCCTATTTTCAGTCATTTTTACCGATTTTCGGGATTTCATCGGATTCTAATCCCTTTTTCCGATTTTTTCTTGTACTCCCAGGGATTCTTTCAGTTTCCCGAACTTTGGGAAGTTTGTATAGGATTCTTCAGGCTTCCGTAAGTCTGGTAGTCCACAGCTGCTTGGAATTCTGCTGTTTTCCCCTTGGTTAAAAGCCAGCTTTTTTGGCATAGATTTAAAACGCCTTACATGGCTTATTAAATGTCGGTTATGGTTCACCTAGGCAGAGGCGTCTGATCCGTGCCAGTTTTTGAATTCTCTATACGAACTGAGGATACAGCTTTTAAAGCCGTATTGACTCGTTATAGCGTTCCGAAATTATTAAATGTTCTCACGCACACTAATAATGCTCATCTTCAACAAAAAAAAGCATAAGAACGGTTTATAATCAAACAACATCGAAAAGTGATAGAAAGCAGTTAAATTTATTTATATGGATGACTTTCTTATTCTCATCCTCTATCAAATACATTCTAAAAAACAAATGCTACGTCAACTAAGTGAAAAAAATGTGCTTATTTCGTGTACTTTTTCGTTTTTGGGCAACTCAAACTCATTGAATGACAGTTTAGAGTTTGAACCGAAATAAAATGAGATTTCATTTCCATTTTTTTCGTACAAGCTATGGTTGGTACAACCTCCCACCGCGATATTTACAAAAACAGCTCCCTCGATAGTGTAGAATAGTGAAAATGTCGGTAATCGCAGCTTGTCCGAAAAAAAATGGAAATGAAATCTCATTTTATTTCGGTTCAAACTCGAGACTGTCATTCCATCAGTTTGAGTTGGTCAAAAACGAAAACGTGCACAAAACAAGCACATATTTTTCATCTCAGTCCATGTACCAAAGTTTCTTGAATTTGTCCCTGTAGAATATGCCTCTTGGTTTTAGATCACTTCCTCCCCCATTAAGGCAACTTTGATTGATAAAAAAAATATATTTTTGATACATTATTGATATGCTTTAAAAATATACAAAATTCCTGAACTGTATTGAATCTATCAAAATCAAGCGTAACTCTACTTCAGTGTTACTATCTGCTGTCAAGAAATTATATTACTGAATAATAGCCGTACGTGGCAATTCCACACATGTTTTTGTTTCGAGCAATCTTGAAATATCCATCCAAACCCCAGTTGGTGCCCCAACTATTTCTCACTATCCAATAATCTTTGCCATTTTGTGTTCCGTAGCCCACAATAGCAATTGCGTGATCGACTTGTTTTGAACAACCAGGAATATCTAAAATATCTTGTGAGTTCAATCTCTTTCCGGGTCCATAAAACTGTAAATCGGATGTCTAGTACAGAAAAAAATGCTTAATTTCATTGAGCATGCATTAGTCAAATTTCTCATGCATACATACCGTGTGAATAGCTGCAGCTACTGGACCATAATTTGTTAGTGCTTGTTTCAAAGCTTCTTCATCCCCTCGTTGTATACTACCATAACTCGAAATGGCTCCCACTTTTGACTGTGACAATTTACAAGTCTGCTGACGTGTTGCATAGGGATATGACGTATCGGGCTGTAAACCCGAACGTTGCTTAATATAATCAAATGTAGCTCCCAAATAACCTCCGCTACACCCATTATTTGGTGAACAGTCAATAAGTTGTTGTTTACTCATCTTTATACGACTTCCTTTCTTCACTGAATATGTTCCTTCGATAGCCGCTGTAACAGCAAATGCATAACATGATCCACATTGACCTTGATTTTCAATTGGATTCATATAACTTCGATAATCGACTGCTGCTTGCGATCCAGACGGGATTTTCCTTGATGGACTTGGTTTTATTTTTCTTGAAGAAAAAAAGCCGCTTGACGACGACCCACCACTACCACCGCCGTAAACATTATAATTTTGTTTTTTTTTACCCGTTCTGTTTATTTTTTCATCTAGTTTTTGATAAATTTTCTTTTTTATTTTCTTTTTAACACTATCCATTAAAAATCGTTTTGGACGTATATGACGTTTTAGTCTGGTATCTGATGGTATCAGACCGGTTAATTTGGAACGAAACTCTGGCAAATCCATGTCACCAAATTGATTCAAATTTAGTTTGAATGTTTTAACACCTTCATCAAATCGAAAATTCTCACGTACAATTAATTTCAAGTTATCGATAAATTTAGCGAAACGTTCCTTTTCTTCTTCGTCTGTTGTATACGATTTACGATAAAATTGTTTATACATCTTCCAAATACGTTGCGCTAACTTGTTATCTTTTAAAGCATCTAATTTGTCTTGTAATTTTTTTGTCGCTTTTTGAATCGTACGATTTAACATATCTTCCATAGCCTGCAATTAATTAAACAAAATAAAATGATTGTTAGTTCTGCATAACTTTATATTTCTCTAGTTAGGTAAAAATACTTTTTCATCTTGAAAAATAGATGTCGCATAAAACACTCTTTACTGGTAATAATCAGTTCTTGCTCTCACCTCTTGCATGGACTTTCCATCCATAAATAGTGCTTCATCACATGGTGTTAATGAACTCAAAATTATGCATACAATAAACAATGTTTTAATGAGATTTTTCATACTGTTATTTGATTGATTATATAGTTCAAATCAGTATTGTATTTTTCAATTCTTAGATGAGTACAAAAAGACAACTATTATGCAAATAAAAGAAAAAGTGAGTTATATCTCTCGACAACGTTTATACCTTTTATCTTTGTGTTTACATTAGAATGACATTTTTTCAGAGGTACATGTTTGAATGGATAAATGTGTTCACTGTTAGAGGAGCAAGAGAGGGATGGAAAAGAATTTCTGCATAGAAATAGGCTTTTTTAAGTTGGTAAAATGAAGTTTGGCTATAAAACGTAATTAATTTTGAGTTCTAAATCTTGATTTATGTACAGGCACATTTTCATAACGACACTATCGCTTTTTTATGTTTACCATAACACTTCATTCTAAGTGATACACAAGAATAGATTTTTATAGTTGACCTTTCTTGTGGTCAAGCACACAATATATCAGTTTTATTAGATTGGATACTGAAAGACTTATAGAGGGATAGTATCTGGCTGATTTATTATAAATTCGCTCAAGCATATTTTCTTATATTTTAGAAAAAAGCTTGGTTATTACTCTCAGTTTCAAAATTTGATGTACTTAGATATTTTTTGAATAGCTCGAGAACGAATAGGGATGAAGACCTGTAGTTTTCAGATTCTGAAAATAAACACCGTGGACATAATCTTATGTAAACTTG